GTGGTCACTGAACTTTTACACATTGTGAACTTTAACACGTTGAATTCCATCACTCATTGACCGTGTTTCATAAGTCACTAAACTTTAAATTCTTTCGAGTGATTATTGAATTTTAATATGCTGCACTCTATCATTCACTCATCTTGTTTCATTCACTGAATTTATACTTCACGCTTTACTAATAAAATAAATATCAAGTAGATAATGAAACTTTCATTCTAAAATGAGAATATTGATATTGGTTAAAAAAATATAATTTCGCTAGTTGTCAAAAGATTTGTTCAAGGGGAAAGAAGAATACTAGGTATAAATTGACATAATTCTTAATTTAGATCATAATCTTCTTTTATGTCGAGAAAATAAAATAGAAAAATTAATTCTTTATTTCGATTGAGGTCGTAGACTCAAATCAGGAAAATAAAATATAATATTCCCAAATGCAGTTAATTTTTTTATTTAGAGTCAATAATATTAATCAAGACTAATGAAATATAATTTTTAGAGTTATCGTAAGGTAATTCAAGAGGAAAGAAGGGCGCTTGTATAATATTTTATACTTCAAAATTTTCAATTTTTAAATAGTTGGATTCACAGAATAAAGGACACCTCGGAAGCATTTTAAAATTCAGTGAGTAAAGCGTGATGAATGTATAAGTAATGAAACATGGTGAATAAGTGGTGAAGTTTAAAGTTGAGTGACCACTCAAAAGTATTTTAAAGTTTAGTGACTAAAATGTGACGGAGGTACAAGTCAAGTGACTAATGAAACATTCAACTCAGTGTTATTAGGATTTGTCAAGTGTTAAATTTCGGTGCGCTCAATAAGTTTGAATTTTTTATTATTTTTTATATCATTATGCGGTGATCTAGGATCATATGCTTATGCAGTGTTACTCACCAGGCATGTAACTAATCATCTTTTATATCTTTTATGAAAGTTCGTCCATTTATGGTAAAAAGTAGAAGATTCAATACAGGCCATTAATTTGCCAGCTACCTTGTGGCAGTGATTAATGTTTGGAATCAGTGACCCGACAATGATCTACCCTTGTTATAAGGAGGCTCTTTCAGTTACCTTGCATAATACTTAATCTTGTTTGTCTTTGATATGAAATTGTGTGGTCTATTTAGGAAAATCTGTTCACAATGTTAAATTTTGTCCCTTCAATATGCAGCAACCAGCTTGTTCAAGATGCTTCTCAAATACAGGCCTGAAGATAGAGCTGAAAAGAAAGAGCGGCTTCTAAAAAGAGCTCAGGCTGAGGCTGAAGGAAAAACTCCTGAGGTTAAGAAGCCAATTATAGTGAAATATGGTCTCAACCATGTCACCTATTTGATTGAGCAGGTGTTGCTTCTTCACTTCAGTTCATTCTTTAGCGTCTTATCCAATAAACAACTTGTAATCAAACTTCCCTTGCAGAATAAAGCTCAATTAGTGGTCATTGCACATGATGTCGACCCCATTGAGTTGGTTGTATGGCTTCCCGCATTGTGCCGGAAAATGGAAATCCCTTACTGCATAGTGAAGGGAAAGGCACGATTGGGAACTGTAAGTGGCCTAAGGTCTTTGGTCTCTGATTATTGGTATTATTGGCTTAGAGACCATTATAATGTTTTGTTTAATGCCATCTTGCAGATTGTCCATAAGAAGACGGCCTCTGTCTTGTGCTTAACCTCAGTTAAGAATGAAGACAAGATGGACTTCAGCAGAATCTTGGAAGCTATTAAGGTAGTGTATTATTCATTTCCTGTTACTCCAATAATCTTTGTTCACCATATGGAGTTATTCTGTGTGTGGCATAACATATTTGATGGACATATATTGTGTTCTTTGTCTGCTATCACTATAGGCCAACTTCAATGACAAATATGACGAGAATAGGAAGAAGTGGGGTGGTGGGGTCATGGGCTCAAAATCCCAGGCCAAGACAAAAGCCAAAGAGAGACTCGTGGCCAAGGAGGCTGCACAGAGGATGTCTTAGGCTAGGTGTTGAGTTTTATCTATTTAAGAATAGAAACTAAATATGGAGTTATTTTACCTGCCCTTTTTATGCTTCAATTCAGAGCATTCTAGTTTTGTTTTAGTTGGATATTCAATAGACTGACTATATTCATTGACATTTAAGTATTTGGCTCTGATGTTTTGAGTTTTAGGTGTTTTTAAGTACTTCAATTTTTCCCACCCCCAAATTTTTTTTCCTGGATGAATGTGGTCTTACTAGAAAAATTGTTTGGAAACCTCACTTAAGGCTTTTTACTTGATATATTGCCCTTCAAATCTGAAGCCGTGTGGAATTTTGGGCACGCTTTGATATTCAGTGCTTTTATTAGCTATGGTTACTGATACAAGGTTGGTGACTGGAGCGTAACAGCACCAGATTCACCAGATGCAAAATCTGGTGTCGCACAGTAAGGGAAAAGGGGATAAATTATGTTAAAAGGCTCACTCGTCACACAAGCACTATCCTGTTTTCCCTGCCGCTACTTGCTTGAACGAGGGAGCAAGCATGAACTTGACACCAACGACCGTCAGGCAACAGAGAATCTTTTTGACTATTAATTTAAATCTGATGGAACCTAAACAGATTTAAATCCAAAAGTCAATACTGGGTTGTGACCTAATTGAAAATGTGCATACGAGTCTATGAATAGATAACCAGTCAACATACAGAACTTGTTACGATATGATTTCTTCTCTTCATACAATATTAACATATTTCGTATGTTCATAATTTCTAGCTTAGTGGACTTGAAGTATCATGCTCTCTCTCTTTTGTGTTCGGTTGTCTTTGTTAGGGTTTGTTACGGACAAGAAGAAGCAGGACCAGTGTATCTTCTAGGGGTATTTGTATTCTCATAACTGGTATGGTGTGGACAAATGGTACCTTGTTTTAATAATGTTATTTATAGTGAAAAATTATCGTTAATTGTCCTACGTAGCATGCATACGACAATTTGTTATTTGATACATTAATATGATAATTTTTTATTGTTTTATGCATCAAATAACAAATTATCACATGGATACCACGTAGGACGATTATCGATAGTTTTCACTATAAATAGCATTACTCTAAAAGAAAATGGCACATTAATGCAGGTCGGAATCCAAATTGTATCTTCAAGTTTTCTCACCCAACTTTATTTATAGGAAAATTACCTAAATCCTACATTTTAATTTTCAATTTCAAAAATCAGTTATTAATTATTTTATTTCAATAATTAGGTTATAATTGTTTTTTAAATTTAGCCTTGTTTGAGTCTATTTTTTTAAAATTACATTTTTTTTCAAAACTAATTTTCACATTTTTCGATAAAATAATTTTACATATAAGTTGAATTTTTTTTTTAACCTTTTAATCACACATTCTATAAGAAATCACTATTCAAAAATAATTTTTTTACTCATCATTGGGCTCAAACAAGAGCTTAAAAACACATTATTATACTCCAACTACAAACATCCACCTCAATAAATATCTTCTAATATCTCACCTATCCCAACTTTAACAGCTTGAATCTTGTTTTTCATTTTATCTAGGGTTGGACATGGTCTTGTTCGATTCGATTTTGAAGAGAATCGAACTGAACTAGAATTTTCGGGTATTTAGTAAGTGGAACCGTCAGGTCGAAATTTAATTATGAAACCGTTTGGGTTCAGTTCTATTCGGTTCCCGAGTTCCGTACAATAATTAATTTTTTTATATTTACAACAATGCTACGTTAATTCGATTATGACATGTTCAATCTTAACACTTAAAAAATAATGTAGTCCAATCTGGCGATATCTTTTGCGCATTTCTTTTAAAAGTTCTTCATAGATTTGACATAAGAAGATGAAGATAGCGAGTTTGCAATAATAGAACGGCAGAAACAACACTATAGTAGAATAAGAGATTTAGGTGAAATTTACGTCAATTTGATTAAGTTGAAATTGGCTGAAAATTGAAAATAGTAAA